GATAAGTGCCAACGCTTTGCCAACATCACTCATGCTCCTCCTACAGAATTGATCACACTTTGCAGCCCTTACCCATTCACCAGATGGTGGATCGACCTAGTTGGCCCATTGCCCACTGGCCGAGGCCAAACCAAATTCGCAATTGTCGCCATTGATTACTTCACTAAATGGGTAGAGGCGGAACCCCTTGCCACAATTACCAAGCGGAATACAACCAGATTCATTTGGCAGTCAATCGTGTGCCAATTTGGCATCCCCCAAGCCATCGTCTCCGACAACGGCAAACAATTTGACAATGCCAAGTTTAGGAAATTCTGTGCAGAACTTCAAATCCAACCATATTTTTCTTCCCCAGGTCATTCCCAAGCCAACGGCCAAGTTGAGGTTACCAACCATTCTTTTTTGAAGATCATCAAAACTAAGCTGGAAGCTGCTAAGGGACTCTGGGTTGAGGAATTACCAAATGTACTCTGGGCCTACCGCACTACCGCTCGAACCCCCACTAAGGAGACCCCTTTTCGCTAACATACGGCGTTGAGGCAGTCATCCCAGTGGAAATCGATTTGCCTACCCCAAGGGTTCTACGCCCGAATCTAGAACTAACTGAAGAGCTGCGTCGGGCAGACCTAGACCTAATCGAAGAGCTCCGAGAGACCACTGCTGTCAGGCAGGCCTCATACGAACAGAAAATTAGAACACACTACAACTACAAAGTCCAACCGAGGGAGTTCGCTGTGGGGGACCTTGTTTTGTGCGAAGCAACTCTTGCCACCAAAAATCCGACTGAGGGCAAGCTGGCAGCCAAGTGGGAGGGACCTTACGTCGTCAAGGCCAGACCTCGTTCGGGTACTTACTGACTTCAAGACATGGAAGGGTGAGACCTCCCCCATCCATGGAACGCCGAGCACTTGAAGCGTTATTTTCAATAAAGCCCTATTTTGTATTGATCAGTTGTTGTATTTTTCTTTTGACAATCTACACACTTGAATGTTCTCGTTCTTCTCTCGCATGATGTAAATTTTTGATCAAATGGGCTATACTTTAAATGACAACAATCTTACATCTCAGTTATCTATGTGGTATTCCAATAACGTCCTGATTGCAGCACTCAGCTAAAAGCCTCAGCCAGACTGAGTATGAAGAGCTCAGCTAGTCTTACACCTCAGTCTGGCTTAGCTCTTCATACTCAGTTTGGCTGAGGTACTTAAAGCCTCAGCCAGACTGAGCATGAAGAGCTCAGCCAGACTGAGTTACTTAAAGCCTCATCCTGACTGAGCATGAAAAGCCTCAGCCAGACTGAGCATGAAGAGCTCAGCCAAACTGAGTTACTTAAAGCCTCATCCAGACTAAGCATGAAAAGCCTCAACAGACTGAGTTACTTAAAGCCCCAGCCAGACTGAGCATGAAGAGCTCAGCGAGACTGAGTTACTTAAAGCCTCAGCCAGACTGAGCATAAAGAGCTTAGCTAGACTGAGTTACTTAAAGCGTCAGTCGGATTGAGCATGAAGAGCTCAGCCAGACTGAGTCACTTAAAGACTTAGCTAGACTGAGCATGAGGAGCTCAGCTAGACTGAGTTACTTGAAGAGTCAGCCAGACCGAGTTAATTATGGCTCAACCCAAACAGAGCACGAATGAAGAGCTCGGCCAAGGCCATTCTTGCAAACATCATGATTGTGGCATAGTTACCATACTTAGTCAAATTCCAGGTCCATGTTTTTACGCCTCTTAACACTCTTTACTTTTTTTTTAACTTTTATTTCCCAGCTTAACCTTTCATTTATCAACACTCTTACAACGTGATTTAAACTTCACTTTTTGGGACCCTTACAGTTCAACGTTTTACAAGCTAGATTGGCTCCCTACTGGGTTGCGATTTGCAATTTTGCGTTTTTGACATTCTCACATTTTAAACTTCACTTTACATTGTGGTTTTCTCACAAGTTAGACTGACTCCCTACTTCTCAATTTTCACTGCAATTTATACACAAGCGTTATTTGAATAACCATTCTCATTCTTCTCAAATTTACAACAATAAAAGGCCATAGTGTGACAAACACAACTCAGAATTTTATTTATTCACAAACTTATACATAAGTTTACTGCATAAATTACATTCCCAAAAAAAAAAAAAAACAACAAACAAAACAACAACAAAAATTTTATTTACAAACAGAGTGCAAAAATTTTACATTCATCATTCTTCCTCCCTCGAAACAAGATCTTCTTCGTCAACACCTTCATCTAAAGAGGTCTAGGCCACTTCGTCTTCCTCTACTCTAACAGTGTTAAAGTCCAAGTCTGGGAACAGCTCTTCAGCCTTTCGCTTGAAAGTTTTCCAGCCGCTGTCCCAGAACTCAGCCATCTCATGTTTGTAGAAGTCCGACCGCTGGTGAAGTGACCCTCATTCCCTCGCCTTAACCTTGTGCATGAGCATCTGTATAATCTTGTTTTGCTAAGCTTTCATCAGTGAATTCTGACTTGTTTTACCTAGAATAAGATTCTTGTCTTGGTTTGTACTTATGTGAATTTGCATGTTAGTCTTGTTCCTTTCCTAGTAAGTCTAGCCGAGGTCACCTTGAGCCTAGAACTATCTTGGACCCACTTTGATTGACCTCTACCTTCGTCTTGGCATATTGGCCGAGATGTCATTATCTAGGCCGAGGTGTGTATCACCAAGGCCGAGATGTGTATCATCTAGGCCGAGATGTTATCGGCCAAGTGTTGTCCTTCCTAGCTGGGATCATTGATACCTTACCTGTTAGAGCCGATGATGTCACCGATGTCATTATCTTGCTAGAATGCCCATGCCGCTTTACTTGTCGAACACCCTTTCGCCATGCTTTTGTCTGGTCTATCAACCACTTTTGAGGGAACCCAACCGGTCGCTGCCATGTGCCCCAGCAGAAGGTTGAGCCTAGAACCAGACGAGAGGACCTATCATTTTGTATCATATCTTTGCCTTTTAGAGAGAGAAGCTCTAGGAGGAAGAAGAAGTTTTAGAGTGAGAGAGTAGATCTTCGAGCTATATTCCTAGAGATCAAACCGTTAGATTCGTGTATTGAGGTTAGGTTCTTGACCTACTCTTGTTATTCTTTATGTTGATCTAATCGCATTGCATGATCTAGCATGTTTCATGAACCATGCATTGCTTTGAAGTTTGCTTTTAGAAAGAGAAAGTGATATTCACGTGTTCTTGAAGAAAACCATGTTTTGATCCGAAAGTTTGTATCAAGATGCATGTTTATCATGTTTGTTTTCATAAGATCTTCAAGTATGGGTACTAAGGTCCATGTTTTTGAACTCATAGCACAAAATCTCGGATTTTGTAATAACAAGTTATGATTTAAGCATGCATGTTCTTCATCTTCTCCATCTTCGTGTTCTTCATGTTCCTCAAAGGGAAATCCAGATTTTCCCGACTTCGCTTTTGAATGTGGCCGTTGGGACCACACCTTGGCGAGAAGGTGTGGGACCTCGGCCAAGACCTGGTTAGTACCCAGCATGTCTTCTCGACGTGCAAAACAGTGTTTTAACCCCAGCATGTTTTCCCGAGATCATCTGCATGCATGTAGGACTTGTTTTGAGAAGTGCATTCAGTAGACTTTGCCATGTGTTTGTAGGCCTTGGATCCTCGCTTGAAACCCCCACACCCAAGGAACTATGTGAGTGGTATTTTTAATAAAGCTATGTTATCATGTTTTGATAAAGCTTTGCTTTGCCTTGTTTTGAAAAGTATTTGATCAAGCATGAACGATTATCCCTATTTTGTATATCAAGTATTATCTTGTTTTAATGACATTCTTGGAAAAGTCCTTAGTGCCAGGGGACTATAATGCAACTGCACCCTTGTCTTGAAAGTCCTTAGTACCAGGGGACTATAATGCAACTGCACCCTTGTTTTGCCACTGACGGTCTATGAATGGGTGGGTTTGTTTGTTCGGAATGTCATCATTTGGTATTACGTAGATGTTATTAACATCCAAGGAACTTGAAAGGTTTGATGGATGAACTTGATTCATCCCTTGACTTGTAAAGTTATGATATGTATTGTTTTCGAAAAGATCTCGGATATCAATCATGCAAAACCTTTATTTCTAATATCATTCACTGAGTATCCAAACTCACCCTCTCCTTATATATATGTACGTAACAAGCATGAAGGCGGTGACGCCGAGATGTGTTATTTGTAAGATGATGTTTGATCCATGTTATGTCGGCAATCTTGAAGATTATGCTTCTTAGTTGTATTTCATGTATTTTGTATATGTCGGCTTGAGAAGCCTTTTAGTCAAGTTGTAATATGTATTTTATTTTGCTTATAATCAAGTTGTAAAGCTATGTAAAGATGTATACCATTTCATTTGACTTATGCACAGCTCTTATGGACTGATTAGATTTGTATATATTGCTTCCGCACATGTTAGCCCCATATGTAATACTCTGATTGTGTGTGAGTTTTGAAAGTTGGCCTTCGGTAATCTCAGATTGCTGGCCATCACGGCACCATTCTACTAGGGGCGGAATGGGGTCGTGACAGATTGGTATCAGAGCATAAGTTATTCGTAGTACGTTGTTCACACACTTTGAGTCCTGAAGAGCATAGGATTTCCCTTTAGAATGATTTTAGGTTTGCATCATACTGCTTACTACTTGACAATGTGTGCATCATCTCGGCATGACCATTTATTACTTGCATACATATTACTTGTTCAGTTGATTTAAAGTCACATTTTATATCCTCCTAGCATCATGAGAAGAGGTAGACCTCCGGTTGGCCGAGATCATTCCGAAGATAGATTGGAAAGACTGGAATGGTTGGTTGAAGGTTTGGTTCGTGAGCTGAGGCAACCCAGGCCACAGGATACTGGTACTACTTCTACCCAGGCCGAGCAGACGAATGGTCGAAATGCAGCTCCACCTCCTCCAGTGCCGTAAGTGCCTCCACAGCAAGCTTTGTATGGGAACGACACAATAACGCTGATCAGAGAGTTCAAGAAAATGAAGCCGCCGAGATTCCAAGGAGGTATAGAGTTGATGAAAGCCGAGGCATGGGTTTTGAAAATAGAAAAGTTGTTTGAAATCTTTCCCAGTGTAGACGCTCAGAAGGTATCTCTGGTAGCGTTCACATTAGACAACGACGCTCGTAGATGGTGGATGATGGTCCGAGAAAGTAATCTGGGTTTGACTTGGGCCAGATTTTTGGAGTTGTTCTACAACAAACATTTCCCCCTTAGTGTTCGAGATCGAAAGGGAAGACCACAGAGTTCCAGAATTTGACACAAGGGAACAAGACAGTGGCAGAATACGACCGTGCCTTTACTGAATTGGCGAGATATACGCCTCACATGGTGGATGACGAATACCGAAAGGTGAGGAAGTTCGAAAGTGGGTTGCGTGGATCGATACAAGATCGGGTTAACATGCTTAATATGCCAACATACGCCGGAGTACTAGACAAGGCCATCCTGGCGGAAGCTAACTTAAACCGATACCAGAATCCAGGAGAGAGTCAGAGGAAAAGGCAGAATTATGATAATCGCCGAGTTCCATTCAACACCAAGAAGAAGGCAAACGTGGACAGTTCCAGTAACTCAAATTAGAAAGGTAATGCTAAGCCGATGTGTGCGAGTTCTGGGAAGCCACATTTTGGGGTCTGTCGTTGGGCAACAGGGGCTTGCTACGAGTGTGGCGAGATAGGTCATCGTGTGAAGGACTGCCCGAAGACAAAGGCTGATGATGGACAGAGGAATGGAAGCACCTCGGGCTCTGCACAGAAAAACAATGTCGGAAGGATACAGACGAGGCAGGGTAGAGTTTTTGCATTAGTGCCGGGAGACACTCAGAGTGCCGAGGCAGTAGTGTCAGGTACCCTTCCAATTTGTTCTCAAGATGCATACATATTGATTGATTCGGGTTCTACGCATTCATTTGTATCTTCTATATTCGCCGAGAAGTTGAATAGGGAACTATAACCCCTTGATTATGTATTGTCTGTGTCTACTCCATCTGGGAGAAATATACTGTTGCATCCATTTATAGGGTGTGTATTGTTGTGATTGAGGATGTAGAAGTATTAGTTGACTTGATGCCGTTGAGCATAACTCACTTTGATGTCATTTTGGGAATGGATTGGTTAGTAACAAATCGTGCATCCATTAATTGTGTCTCCAAGAGTGTCACATTGAAACCCCCAAACCAAGCTGAGATTATGTTTTAGGGTAAGGGAGTAATATCCCCACCTTACTTGATCTCATCCATGAAAGCCTATAAGTTAATCCAAAAAGGGTGCCAAGGATATCTGTGTAGTATATTAAGTAATTTGAATGGAAATGTTGAGTTAGCCGACATCCCCGTGGTTAGAGAATTCCCCGACGTCTTTCCAAATGCCTTGCCTGGCCACTTAGTCAATAGAGAAATAGAATTTTCCGTTGACATCATGTCGGGAACGCAGCCTATCTCCAAAACACCTTATAGGATGGCCCCAGCTGAACTTAAGGAACTGAAACTACAATTACAAGAATTGTTGGATAAGGGATTCA